AAGTATCATTTTTGTTAAGAATGACATAATTCTAATTAAGTTTCATTCCATTTTTCCATAGCAGTGGTAGTGCGATCCATTGGAGGGTTGTCTTGTCAGCCAAGGATAGCAGAATATAAGTTAGTGAATGTGGGAGACAGCCAAAAACATTTGAAGGTTAGCAACAGTTGACAAAACATCTTTTTAGGGCCCCCTGGGAACCACACGGGACCCACATCCCTCTCCTCACTCTATCTCTCTTGACTCTGTTGACTCCCCACTTCCTCTCTATATTTATATCTCTAATTCCATCCCTAACTCTCCACCTCCACTTCTCTTCTTCTTCCTCTTTCTTCTCTTACGTTGTTAATCTATCTTTTTCCAGCTTAATCAGCTAGATTAATTAGGTGATCGACCAATGGCGGACGCAGCAGGTTCGGCCTCTGCAAAGAGAATGTGTTCGGTGCCTGAGAGGCTCCAACTGCATGGTGCCATGCTGGCCTTGCAGTTTGGCTATGCAGGTTTTCATGTCGTCTCAAGAGCTGCCCTAAACATGGGCATTAGCAAGCTCGTTTTCCCAGTTTACAGAAACATCATCGCTCTTCTCCTCCTCCTTCCCTTTGCCTATTTTCTAGAGAAGTACATACTGCGAAATGATTTTCTTATACACTTTTTTTTCTTTCTATACGTTATGTTTATTTCTGTCCATTAATTTCTTTTATTTATTTTTTAATTAAAAAACAAGAAAGTGTGTTGAGGAGAGAAAAGGATTGTGCACTTATTTATAATTAATAAAAATTGCATATTGAGATTAATTAACACGTTCATTTTGTTATTTTTTCTTGGCTCCATCAGGAAGGACAGACCTGCAATCACTCTAAACTTTCTCACCCAGTTCTTCCTCCTTGCACTTGTTGGGTATGATGAAATATACTTACACATTTGAATAGTCAAGACCTATATTGTTGTGCTAATTAACTATTTAATAATCACTTTTTATTCATTAATTAATTTGCTTAATTTACAGAATTACAGCAAACCAAGGATTCTACTTGCTGGGGTTAGACAACACATCACCCACCTTTGCTTCTGCAATCCAAAACTCCGTCCCTGCTATTACCTTCCTCATGGCAGCCATACTCCGGTATCGTTATTAATTTACGTAATGAGTCACAACATTTTAATTCCTAAGTCTTTTAAGAAAAAAAATTACTTTGTTAACAAGTGTGTCACTTTTATGCATCTAAATAACATTAAATAAATTAATATTGCAGGATAGAGCACGTAAGACTGAACCGAAAAGATGGTATTGCCAAGGTGCTCGGAACGGTCTTCTGCGTCGCCGGAGCGTCTGTAATCACGCTCTACAAGGGCCCCACCATATACAGCCCAACTCCTCCACTCCAGATGATGAGATTGATGAGCAGTACTACTACCTCTGCAATCTCATCAACATCTTCGTCAGCAATAGTGTCGACTCTCTCATCGCTTGGCGATGCAAAGGGGAAGAGCTGGACTCTGGGCTGCCTCTACCTGATCGGACACTGCCTGTCGTGGTCCGGTTGGCTCGTGTTGCAGGCGCCGGTTCTGAAGAAGTACCCGGCCCGGCTCTCAGTGACATCGTACACGTGTTTCTTTGGGCTGATACAGTTCATCATAATTGCTGCAGTTTTTGAGAGAGACGGTCAGGCTTGGATCTTTCACAACGGTGGTGAAGTCTTCAGCATTCTCTACGCGGTAAGTATTAGTAGCCAGGCTCATTACTTAATGACGATCACTGTTTCTTAATTCTCAGTTAAAACTAAATTTCCTTCTTAATACAAAATTTTTTCAAGCTTCGCCTGGTTTATACTTACTAGAGCATTTAATTATACAAATGATTCATGTAAAACAAAGGTGACATTATTTACAAGGTAATACATCCAATTGTTATAAAATGAAGAGCATGCTCCTCAGAAAATTCGTCGTATCTGGTTGTATATCCTCTTTTTCTATCTTTTATATTACAAGACATGTTTAGCAAATTCAGCGCATTAAGAAAGTCAATTCTTTTCTTAGCTTTTGAATATTCTTCTTTCTTGCTTTATTCTTCGATTATGGTTATGGCGTGATGTGCCATTTTCTGGTTCGTTAACAAAAGCTGTCAGAAGCAAAAAGTTAAAGTCCGACTAGTCATCAGAAATAAAAGGCACAACTTGTTCATGTGCGAACCAGTTGCTTCTTACTCAAAAAGTTTCTGGGGTGAAAATTCAAACGCAATAATGCAGGGTGGTGGGTATTTAAAATGAAATGAACGATACTGATTCTTTCTTTTTATTTTTTTTGTATTTTGGTAGGCTTCCTTTTTTTTTCCCACTATATTTTTGTTTTGTGGTTAAATGGAATTATAAAATTGCAGGGAGTGGTTGCATCAGGGATCGCATTCGCTGTACAGATATGGTGCATCGACAGAGGGGGCCCTGTCTTCGTGGCCGTATATCAACCTGTTCAGACCCTCGTTGTCGCTATAATGGCCTCCGTCGCTTTGGGAGAAGAGTTCTACTTGGGCGGGTACGTACTTCATACCCCTGTTCACCACCACTGGGTCCATATAAATAAAGAAATTTTAATGAAAAATTTCTGGTACTATTTATTTTAACAAAAAAATTATATTTTTACGCTAAAAAATCAATCCTAGTACTATTTATTCTTTATTTTAATTTTATCGTTAAAACTCAAAATTTTCAAGTATTTTATCTTAATTTTTCTTATAAATAATATAATAGAGAAACTTCAGTAGTTTTCCAACTTGGAATGATATCGTTTACAAAAGTATGGAACTCCTATTTTTGTCCCATGGTGATTGTACTGGTGTGAGAGCTGCCATAATTTAAGCAGTCCTACTACATTTTCTCTATCCATAAAATGTTTATCTGAAAGTTTTGGAATTCGTTCACAAATAGGTTGACAAGTCTAAAGATTGATGACAAACATGTGGTGTATATACCAATCTTCACCGATTTGAGCATCGATAACAAAAAATTATTATGTGGTATTAAAATACTACTATATATCAAGTAATGTAACATTTCAGCTTTGTTTAATACGTGTTTAATTTGTTTATTAATATTATACTTTAAAATATAAATTCATTATCATACACCCATATTTTGATACGTAAATTCGTTATATGATTATAAATTTAAAAAGACACACACACACACACACACACATATTAATAAATGAACAAGATTTTGAATAATCCAGAAGTTATGTAAAACCGATGCATCATAGTTTGGCCTCATCTTTGTTGTTGTGGAATATAAATATATCTTAATTATTGGTCGTGTACAATATTGGACAGGATCATTGGGGCAGTGCTGATCATAGTGGGACTATACCTTGTGCTGTGGGGTAAAAACGAAGAAAGAAAGTTCGCTCAACTAATTACTCAAGGAAGCAGCAGGGTTGGAAGCCAGTCCACTCCTGAGCACACAAACAACAGGAAAATCCAAACCAAGTCGTCCCTCACTCAGCCACTCATCCCTCCATCCACCGAAAATGTTTGATTGCCATTTTCTAACTTTTAACGACAATCTTGGGCCCTTCTCCGTCAAGATATCAGGAGGACCAAAAAAAAAGTACTGCCGTAGCTATATAATATATCAGAAAGCTTTGTGTGTGTAATGAAGGTGTTCTTTCTTTTTTCTCTTTGTTTTTTTATCACTTTTACTCAATCGCTTTCTTTAGTAGGGAAGAAGGGGTCAGCTATGTGGGGACTCAGAGCCTTAGATCTCATATGCTTTAATTATATGTTAATTTTATGGTTTGATTAAATGAAAAAAAGGTTTTCCTACACATTCAAAGCTAGTTAGTCGATTCTTACTAAAGGTGAATTTGAACTACATTATTATGACTAACCCATAGCCCACTCCCTTACCCCTTTAATAATAATATCGTTTGGTAAAAAAAAAAAAATTGGCTAGTTCATGCTTTTCATATCACAACAAATAAACGATCATATGGTTAATTACATTTTACACCATTGAAGTTTCAAATTAGTTTCAAAATAAGCAACGAAGTTTCAATTTTATCACATTGAACCATGATACTTTTTTTTGTTTTTTTTTTTGAGAAAGAGTGAACCATGATACATTTTAAAATTTCTCAAAAATTTATATTTTCTGTTTACTTGTTATGTACTGGGACCAGTTGAGTTTCCCTAAAAAAAAGCAACGGGGTCAATTAGCACCTCTAACTACAATTAAATGTAATTGTTAGAAGTGCGATGTTAGAAAATCAGAACCTGCGGATTTATTTCTAAACTACCTTAAACTTCGGTGTGAAATATCTACATATGTATATCACAAATCAGCTCAACTCATATGTCTATGTGTATAATCACAATAAGAAAATTTTGATATTGGTTAAAGGTGGTCAAATTAGTAATTGGTGTTTACGATTCTTTATGTTAGTGTGGTGACAAAATTGCAGGTAAGATTTGATGCATGATTATTTTCAGATCCTGAAATCACATCATTAAAGAGTACATTATTTGAAACTTGAAGGGGTCCATAATAATAATGATATTAGGTTTTTTTTTTTTTTTTTTGTAAGAAGTATGCATTTCTTTTATAATGGTAAGCTGCTTTTTCTTTTAATGATGTTAATGGCATCCATGGTTTTCATTAAACAATGCAAATATGAATGCTCTTAACGAGTTGAACTCTATGCTTTTTACGTCTAAACATATATTTTCTCTTTCCTCGTACATGAAAAAAAGGTTGAACTGTTGCCTTGCCTGCCCTTAGTCCTAATATAAGTGAATATTGATAAAATTTATTATAGTGATAGATTCAAATATTGTGAAAGTTTATTATAGTGATAGATCCAATTTCGACCATTGAAAAAAAAAAATAAGCAACATAAGCTTAAATAATGAATCTGTATTGGAAATGGCATGACCATTTAATGGAGAAATTAATTAATACACACTTTGAAATTGTTATGCAATTTCAAACTACATATATATATATATATCATCACTTTTCGTCCCCATCTATCACACTAGTGCTAGTACCGTGCCTGCCTTTGTAACACCGAGCCACCCACAAATACACCAAGAAATTAACCCCATTAATGGCGGTCAAGATCCAATAAAAGTAATTAAGCTTGCTCTTATTCAAATCATTCCTCAGCCAACCTTCTTGTACTCCGCCGGTCGTACCCTCAATGATCTTAACAAGCGCCGTGCTCAGCCAACTCCCGATCCCAATCTCACTCAAAAACATCGCACTACTAATGCTCCTAGTACCGTCCGTGGCCTCATCGTAAAAAAACTCCAACTGTCCAACGTACGTAAAAACCTCGGCGGTCCCCATGAGGAAGAACTGCGGAAGCAACCAAAACACGCTCATTTTGCTCAGCGGACTCAACTCATCTCGGCGTTTCTTCTCGACCAAGGCAGCCGAGGCCATGGCGAATATGGAGACAAAGAGTCCGACCCCCATTCGCTGTAACGATGTCATGCCACGCGGGTGGCCTGTGCGTTTGCGAATGATTGGGACCATAAACTTTTCGTAAATGGGGACGAGGATTAGGGCGTTGATAGCGGCGAAGAAGGGGACAGAGCCTGCTGGGATTTCAAAGTTATGGCCGAGTTTGCGGTCGGTTTTGCTGGCTTGGCTGACGAAGAAGGTTGAGAGTTGAGAGAATGAGAGGGCGAGAGCTATGGTTGATGCCCATATGGGCAGAACCCTAATGAAGCATTTGAATTCTTCTACTTGGGTCACTGTACATAGCATCCAACGACTCTTTGGGTTGCCCTCTGGGTCTGTCATCACAGCTGCCATGTCCAAAAACCTGCATATTAACCAATTGATTAAGTGGCTAACTAACATATAACTTAACTAAATCAGACAAATGAGATTCTTTCATTAAGTTCATGTTCATGTTCATTAAGCTAGCGCACACTGCACAAAACAGTTATATATATGTATACGTATATACACTATTTGATAAAAGATAGAGCTTAACTATATATGCATTGCTATATATGCAGCCCAAAAACGAGACATATTAAGACTCACTTGTACTGTGCAGTGTGCGCTAGCTTCCGGACACCGAAGATATCAGACTTGTCAGTCTTAACCTCATAAAGCTGAGCATCACGCGCCACCTCAACTCCGCTCCAATGGTTCCTCACGGAGGCCACAACAACCTGAATAAATCTAGTGAAAGGACTCCCCATAGGCTTCTGATAACGATAGTACGGAACACCGGCGGCAAGGATGACGACGGAGCAGATCATCAATCCCGTCGGGATTCCGAAACCCCAAGTCCACCCCTTCTTCTCTTGTATGTAAACCAATACCGTGATCCCCAAGAGTGCGCCCATGTTTATGGCAAAGAAGAACCAATTGAAGAACGAGTATTTCTTTACCATTTCTCTTGAATCAGCCTCGTCGAATTGATCGGCCCCAAAGGACGAAACACACGGTTTTATGCCGCCGGTTCCAAGGGCGATGAGGCCAAGCGCGCCGTAGAGGAAGGCCGTCTGGGTATTGGTAGCTTGGTTGCATGGTCGAACCGTGCATGGCGGTGGACGTAAGCTGTCTACGGAGGCTGATACTGTCAACAAGACCATACCCTATAAAACAAACATTGAATTCATTACACCACCATCTTTTGAGAATTTTTGCGTTTTCACAAAATTTATTGAAGTTTTAGAAATTATGTTAACACACGTTGAGATTTTAAATTGTTTTCACGTAACTTCATACATTCAAAATCAACTGACAAGTTTAACCATAAGTTTTGAATTAGCTACACACTCTCGAGCTTCAAGCCAATTTTCACACGAAGGAGTAAGGGCTTTTATAGAAAACACTTATATTTATAAATTATTTTACTAAATTACTTGTATTATGAACACGCTAAGATTTATATTAAAAATTCAAGTGTTTCTTTAACATAACATTGAGAAATACTTTTCAAAAAGCGTTCCATTACTAAAAAAGGAAAACTAATTAAAAGAGTTTGAAAACTTTGAATTTTAACCAAAATGACAAAAATGTGTTGTAAGTAAATAGTACCATGAGTCACTTTTTAAAGTAAAAATATCCTTAATATTAAACGTGAACAATATCAAAAATGTTTCGTTAAGAACTTTTTGTCGAAACGGTAAATTAGAAACTTTTAATTGTCAAAAAAACTCTTCAATCGCTTCCAATAAAAATCCCAAAATAACCCAATGCTAATATCCATAATTATGAAGATTCAGCCCAATAAATATAATGGGCCTAACAAAGTTGATGAAAATCCAAAATGATGGGCTTTCATACCACAGCATAGATACAAGAGAAAATGATGATGGTTTTGAAGCGGCCCAAGTAAGCATCAGCCACAAATGCTCCAAATAGTGTGAGGACGTAGGCAGCTCCGATCCAATCCGTCACATGAGTCGCCGCGTTCGGCAGCGCCTGCCGCATCTCGAAGACCAAATAAGCCACCATGTTCACCGCAATTGCAAAAAATGCCAGCCTCTCAGCCACCTCATTCACTACAATCAATTAAGTAAAAAAAAAAAAAAAAAACATAAACTAATTCAATCTTAGTTAATCAAATTTAACCTAAACAATTAATTCAATCTTAGTAAAATGCACCTATGATAAATGGTGAGGCCTTCCATCCTCCTGTTGTTTGCTTGTCTGCAATCCCCCCCCTGAAGTCCACACATCCATTGCTTACCAAAGTTGTGGTTAGGCTTCCTTCCTGCATGTTAATGTTAATTAGTAAATAGCTAATTTTATTTAGAGGCCTTTAGATCCATGTCCGAAAGCTTCAGCTGCTTTCGGATTTTGTCAAGTTCCATTTTCATATCATTTCAGTTCAGTTGATTTTTTTCTCATGGACGTTTTGCTCCTTATAGTAAAACTGAAAATACATTTAAACTCGTTGATTTACGCATCATTTACTCACATTTGAATCTTTAATACTATAGTATTAGTCTACAACTTAAAGTGAAATGAAAAACATTCTAAAAACTCGTAAACAAAAATAAAATAAAATAAACTGTGGTATATGTAAAAAAGATACAATAAATCCATGTTGCAAGGAGGGTATTAAAAAATTATAGAGGTTATTAATCATGTAAAGAGCGACCCCAAACCATCACGTCTCCCTGCGTTGCGAGGATCGGAAAAAAATGTCTATCGTACGCATCATTACCATTGTTTTGCAAATAAGCTGTTTCCACAACTTGAATAGATTAACATGTGATATGGGTAAATAAACACGAATGAGTTTTTCAAAGTTAATAAGACTACCATAAATAATGGATGATATTGGTTAATGCAATCTCCTTCTTTCTACCAATCAAACATATTCAGTAGAAATTAGATGCTTTTAATTTCCACCCGAATCACATTGCCTTCATTTCAAATTCCAACCAACGTCTGTCATGTAATCGAAGGACAAGGCGAAGAAGATGACTTTGTGAAGTCAAGAAAACACAAGAGGAAGAAGATTGTCTGAGGAATGCTAAATCCTAATGAAGTAAGGGGTATATAACAAGAAGTAGAAGAAATATAAGGGAAAAAAAAAGAGTGAAAAGAAACAGGAAGGAAATTGATTTTACTTATATCCACAAGCCCTCAATTGGAAGAGATTATAGAAAATTGATTTTAATTCTATAACTAATTCCATTATTAAGAATATTTTATTCTTCCAAGGGTAAATTGATCGAAAATAAAAGAAAGATACTTTCTAAAATCAATGGATGATATTACTTACTTTACTAGCCACACTTATGGGTGAATTTGATATCTTATGTTCATGGTCGTAATGGTGTGTCTGCTTCGTTATACTCAAATTTAAGTCATTTAAAATATCGTATTATCAGAAAATATTTTTACCTTCTTGACATTCTCAAAATCTTCAAATTTTTCCATGGAGGGCTGAATGAAGGACTGTTCGAAATACGTTTCGTCGGCAGTTGATTTAGGTTGCTCCATTGAAGCTCAATTAACCAGAACTTTGAGTTTTCAGGCAATGCTTTCTTCAAAGGGCTAGCTAGTCAGGAGATTTATATGCAAGCTGACTAACGTGCGATAACATATTTAAACTAAGTTGGTCGATGTCATTACAAAATAAATTTAAGGTTGTTTCTGTTTGTTCTAATTCAACTTCTGACTTATATGATTTGGACTATTTGTTTCAAGAGTTTGTTGGGGGCGGCACTGCAAACATCGGAACGGATTAATCAATCCCACGAGTCGGGAAGTTGAGCAAAATGTTGGATAATAAGGCAAGGTGGTGGTGGTTACAATGGAGCTGTTGTGTACACAGCCTAAAACGAAATAAAATGGAAGATGTAGGAAGTAGTCAGACTGCCGGCTAAACACTTGGTCAAAAGGAGAAAGGACAAGGAGGAGCCAAATGGCACATACATCACACAAGATACTCTCCTTCATTCTGTTTGAGGGTGTTATTAAATGGAAGTCTTGCATTAAAGCGTAAGTTTCTAATGACAATATGATGTTATAAACGACTTTAATTTAAGAGAGGAGGTTCGAATTTGAACGCAAGAGGGCATACATATCGCCATGGGGCTCGTGTCCAACTTGCTAAACTCAAATTTGCTTTGCATTAATTGGGATGAGGATTTGAACTTAGGTGTAATGTGTGGTCCGGCTACATGGCAATATGTATGTCCCCTTGCAATTATTATTATTATTATTATTATTTTGACAAGAAACAATAGTGTGGTATTTTATTAATCAACACAAACAATTACAAGGGTGCCATTGAGTACGTAGCTCCAGCGACTAAAAAATTGATTTGAAGTGAATTTGCACAGACAGACAAATGAGAGTAAACCCCTAGTAGACTACCACAAGCACAAACACACAATTGCCAAGCGCACAAGTGCCACCAGTATAGATTTGTCACAATAAACGATAGCTGCAGCAGAGAAATAGAAGCAGCCACATTGGTCATCGTTGAATAGCAAGACCACATCAAGTCATCGTTGACAGATGATACTACATAATAAATCGCACAAAGGCGAAGACCATTCTAGCCAAAACAACAGCCCTACCATGCTGGTCAACTCATCACAGTGGGGGACGAGGCACTCAGGCCAAGGCCACCTACAAATTCACAGGACATGGAGGTACCAGTATCCACACATCGGACACACAAGTTGAGCTGCCAGATCAAGCCAAGCCGCCAGATTTGAGTGCACATGTCATTGCAGCCACTGGAACCAGACGAGGAAGGTGACACCACCATGGAAACGAGTTGACGAAGGTGGATCCAACCCACCTGCAACACGAATACACTCCACACCAAGAAAAACAAGCGTTAAATCAAAGAAAATCTTGAAAGGCATGGCCTGGATTAGGGAATAAGGCATAAATCATGGAACGTTGCACACTAAATGGTGGGAGAAAAGCACGGGAAGGGAGATGAGGTAGGTGAAGGCATGGAAGGAGTAGTCGGCGTGAGGTTGAAGGGAAAGAAGGTGTGTATGGCAAGGGGGGAGAAGGTAGGATGGGGAAGAGAGGGAAATAAGAAGGGAGGAAAGGCAAGGAGGGAACTGCCACCTGGCCTCCAGTCATAGCCAAAGGCTGGTGGTGATGGAGGTAGCCGGTTAGGGTTTTGTTGAGGGAGAGAGCCTTGGAGAGAAAGAGACCGATTCCCCCCTTGCATTTGATTAGTATTGGATTGAATGCTAGTATTTTTTACATGATATTTGAGCAGATTATTCACATTTTAGGTGCAATGGCCTACATATTGAGCTTGAGTGATGTTACACATGAGAAAACGTGTTGAAAGTATCACTCCTCGTTGTAAATAGAAACTCATTGCAATTTGTTTTTGTGTTGGATGACGACGTTCTAACAACTTCACCAAATTGGAATTTGGGCTCATCTCAAAAGTGAATCATGAAAACCCAATATGCCTAATAACTCATCAGTCTTGGACGGCAATCCAAAACCCAAAAAACTTAATTCAAGTTTGCTAGCCAAGGCCCAATCGATAAAAACCAACGAACAGTGTACCAATAATTCGGGAGTTGTGCATATTCGATTCCAACAGTGAATATTCCATGCCTAATTAGGTGGTTAGTGCAGATGACAAACTATTAATTTTCTGACAAATCGCAAAAGCACTTGGTGCTTTTGACTGACGGTTGGCCGCATGTTCCTACGTGTCCACCACAGCAGTCAATCAATCTCTGTGTCTCTTCACCCAGCGCCAACACCTTCAGCGGAATTTCGTACAAGGAATTTTGGATGGAGCAACCATTTATTTATAACACGTAATTTTGCACATGGAAGTGGCTTAAGTGGGAAGTGCCTACCAATGGTGGTACAAAAAAGCACTGGGATGAGGAAGGCAGGGATGAGCTCTGCTGGGGTTGTGCTGGGTATGTTACTGATTGTCCTGGAGGTTTGTGATGGCGGAATAACAAGCAGTTATGTCCGGAATGATGACTTGTCCCTTGATATGCCTTTGGACAGTGATGTGTTCCGAGTTCCTCCCGGATATAATGCCCCCCAACAGGTATGTTTTGTCAGAAACCATGCTTTTAAGTTCTGATTCATACTTCTTGTTATAATCTAAACTACTCTAATTTATCTCTATTGAGTGTTGAGTGTAATGTGCGGCCTGACTACATTGGACTAGTCTACTTACCTAACTCACGTGGGCGATTTATGATTTTGATTTTTGGGTAGTGGGCAAACTCCGAGAAGGGGTTTTTTTTTCCCTTCTAAATTTTGAGTGCTGTGATTACTGAAGGTGCATATAACTCAAGGAGATCATGAGGGTAAGGGTGTGATTGTCTCTTGGGTCACTCCAGATGAACCGGGTTCAAGTACAGTGATTTACTGGGCGGAAAATAATACCAGTCTCAAAAAAAGTGCTCAAGCAACTGTTCTCACTTACAAGTACTTCAATTACACTTCTGGATACATTCATCATTGCACCATTGACAATTTAGAGGTAAGTACTTGCCACTAATTGGTTGCCCTGCATTCTTTGTGTTCGAATCGAATTGAATGTGGAGTTTAATCAATCAGAACTGCAGTTTGACACCAAATACTACTACGAAGTCGGGACTGGGAACACCGCGCGGAGGTTTTGGTTTGTAACCCCTCCTAGGGTTGGTCCTGATGTTGCTTATACTTTTGGCCTCATAGGTAACAAAATTTGATCTGCATTTGGAAATTTTATATAAATTGGCACACTTGTGCTTTTTTTGATGTTTTTGAACCATATATTTGTGTGTTGTGTGTTGTTCTCATCACTCTGGTGTGCATTTTGAGCAGGGGATCTTGGCCAAACCCACGATTCAAATGATACACTTACACATTACGAATTAAACCCTGCGAAAGGGCAGACATTATTGTTTGTTGGGGACCTCTCTTACGCAGATGATTATCCGTTTCATGACAATAACCGGTGGGATACATGGGGGAGGTTCGTAGAGAGAAATGTTGCTTACCAACCGTGGATTTGGACTGCAGGAAATCACGAAATCGATTTTGTTCCTGAGCTCGTAAGCATCTTTTTTGTGTATTGTTTGATGGTGACCTCTCTTGTTGTAGATGATTAAATATACGATTAAGTAATTACAATGTTGTTGCAGGGTGAAAGTAAACCCTTCAAACCATACACAAATCGGTATTTTGTTCCCTACGAAGC